TGTGATGTTAGAGTAACACAATTTTTATTGAGGTGTGCTAAATGATTCAGGTAGCTGGCAGGTGGGTTATCACAAGTCATTAGACTGTGAGGGATTTTATGGGCTCTTGTTTGCATCTAGATACTAGCACACTGACTGTGGCAACCTTCTTCTCCAAAGCAATTTTCATTTTCAAAAAAACCAAACCACGCAGAATTATGGCCTCGTCTTTAGATTCCAAAACCCTACCTGGAATGGAACTAGACCGGGTAAAAAGCAGAGCTCACCTTTTCTGATTCTTTTTCTGTTCTGAGGCGACAAAATGAATCAGGTTCATTTTGAATCAAAATGAATTCAATGAAAGGCACTAATGTGCCAATTGTGCCTCTTTTAATACATGCAAGCTAACATTAAATACATGATGGTATGGCATTCTTAGATTTCTTTCTTTTGCTACTGGAGGGTGGTGATTTTCACATCAATTTTGTGTCATTTGTAATGCGGAGGCCTGGCTTTACGTGCAGATGTGCCCTATTTCTTTCCATTATGGGAAGTAAGAAATATGATTGCAGTAATTCCTGGTGTCAGATTATCAAAGCAGCATCTTTAGAATTTGTAAGTGTGCTGTTGTTATTTTATATCTTTGTTTATACACAGATTAAAACACAGTCCCCCATGGCACAACCAACAGGTAATTGAATAGAATGTTTAAGGCTGCCACAAAGCAATGGAGCAGTGCTTGAATGTCTTGGAAATAGAGTCAACACCTGAGAAATTTTCTCCATTGTCTTTCCCATGGCTTTGAAGTTTTTGATAATGCTGAAAAGATACAACAAAAATGGTATTATTTAATGAACAAAGAAATGTAGCTAGTCACTATACTGCCTGCTACAGGAAAGAAAGATTTTTTTTCAGTATTACTTGAAGGATTTCAGGGGTTAGGGTGGATATTTTCCATATAATTAATTTCATCTTAATTTGCTTAGCTTTCTGGAGATGATCATCATATTGAAATTGCAATATGTGTCTTTGTCTTTTTCATCCCCCTGAAGTCTCAGCATAATTTAGAACCAGGGAGAAGTGATTCTTTTGCACTTTACATGCAAGTCACAGTTTCCTTATTGGGTTCCAAAGGATCCCTGGTCTCCAAGCTCCAGTACACAGCTGCCACTGCATATGTTGCTGCCGAAAACTAAAACTTGCTGAAATAATCATTCCCTATGTTTTTAAGAGGCTGTGTTTAAAGTACTGCTTGACACATCTCATTTCTTTAGGGAACTTGAGCTCATATGGCAAAACAGCAGAGCTAATAAAAAATCCAAGATTTTTTTTTTTCTGGTTAATATTGGATATTACGAACACTCCTTAGAATCAGAATTCTTTTGAGCCTGAGGCATTGTATGTACTTTAGTTTCTAGAAGGTATAACACAAATATAAATTAACACCATATAGTGAATATAAAATTTGAATCCTTTTCCATGCACATGATTTAAAAACAAATTTTCTATACACACACAAAACTAGTTATATTTAAAACCATTAAAGGCTTTATTAATTTTTTTCTTCTATTATCTTGCTGCAGATTATTTCCAGAACTTTTTAGAATAAGTAGCAAAAATGGAAAATAGTGTTTAAATTGCTTTACTAGCATATAGAATCCATGTCAGTTACCTTAAGTCAACAGGTTATATGAGCTCCTCCATCTAGGTGGAGAGATTTCCAAGACTAGATGTCCGTGCACTTCTTCCTGTATTACATATAAATAAGACAGTAAAAAATATAACTCCCACCCAATAATTTCCAAAGTTAACACAGAAAGAACTATTTGGACACAGCCAGGATCTTCATTCATTTTAAAATTAGGTTGCTGTGGGAGAACATTCTTTCTGAAAATAAAAAGCTTTGTTATCAATATCCCTGAGATGTGAAATTAAAAATATAAGTTAATGGTAGATAGTCTGGGAAGAATTTGATTACAGCCTGAATAGCAAATTAGCATTTAGGGTTTCCTACCTTTTTCTTTCAAAAACATTCTTAACAAATAGGAATACCAAGGGAATTTTTCTCAAAGCCCCAAGCATGTTTTGTGGAGTTTTTAGTCCCCCCCACCCCCCATTCTGGACTTCTAGATTGTCAAACAGAAATAGGAAACATTTCTAAATGAAAAATTGTTCTAAGTGTGGTTTTATCCAATAATCATTACCAGATTGAATTTCACAGAATTCTAAAGATTTTTGTTTTTATGTTTGAGAGAGAAAGGGAAAATGAGTTGCATTTGAGTATTTCAGTGGTTTTGAAAATAATATTTACGTTTAAATTTAAATGCAAAGTGTAGATAATTTAAGGTAGAATGGAATTCAGTAATTACAGAGTCCGCTTTTAGCTAAGTCTTAATTAGTGTGGAAGAAGATCTTTTGTGGCTTCATAGCATTCAGATGATGTTAGAAGATTCTGAGGCAGGAAAGTAGATGTACATTCCTTTGACTTTTTTCTTGGGAAAGTTGGAAGTGCATCCCCCAGGGAGGATACATTTCTCCTTGCCTGCTTCCTAGCCCTTAGAAACACAGGAAGTGACCAGAATAGTTGTATTTGATAATTATTTAACCACTCAATTTCTGAATAATGCAATGATTAATTTTTTTCTTAATCAGAAAGGTTGTAACTGTGGCTAATATAAGATAATTTGTAAAAATCTTGTGATTAACTACTTAAAGATGAAAAAAGCTGTTTAAGACTTAAACCGTTTAGCTCTTTATAAATAAAACTTACACTGATCAGATAGATCTTTGTCCCTAACAATTCATGTGTACCATGTTTACCATGTCACAATCCATTTTATATCCATGCTTGACTCTCAATAAACTCATCTTCCTTTACCAAACCCAATGAAAATTGAAATGATTTCAATTACTATGGTTACAAGGTTTGACTATATGGATCAGTTTTTATAAAATACTTTACTCTTTTGTTCAACTATCTTAATAGGCAATTCTAGTAAACAGTGTGAAATCCATAAATGAACATGTTTAGAATACCAGATGTGGCAAACTAGCACTATCTGGGATTGAATTTTATATGAACCTAATCATTCTGGATAAAGATTACAGCTCAAAATATCTATACTCTCAAAAAATATATATGGATCTGGAGCATTATTCATCATTATTTAGAACATCTAAGAAAAATACTTTGTATAATAGGTTTAATTACCCCCAGTTGAGGTTGTGACAGAACTGTGTATAAAACTCTTTACAAATATCTTAACATGAGAGGAAAAAAAGTGTTTTAAAAATACAGAGCCAGTTGACTAATTGATTGCTTATGTGGGAGTTTGCATAAGAAATAACAGAGAGTGGGGTATTAGTCCTGCCCATAAAAGAGGGGAAGAGTATGATGTGTAGACCCTGAGGAGACACTACTGAGTAGACTTGACTGATAACTTGTGAGAAGCAGAGACCAGAAGCCAAGAGTGACTTAAGAGTTGTCAGCCTTTAGATTTGGCTAGCTGGACAGAAAATGATTGTATGAAAAGAAATAGGGGAAATAGAGGAATTTTTGGATACTATAATCAGTTCTGCTTAGAACTTTTTGAGTTTAGCTGAACCTCCAGGATAGAATATCTAAATGAGAGATGGAAACAATTAATTGCTTTGATGTTGAGGCTGGAGATACAGATGTGGGAGTCATCTATACTCATATCTATCTGTGTATTTACTGATGGAAAGTAAATGAACACAGAATAAACTAACAGTTACCTGTAAGCCTGCTACCCAGAAAATAACCAGATAATATAATAGAATACAATATAATGTATTTTCCAACCCTTCCATTACACACATTTATATACATGAATGTGCTTTTCATCCACTCACTTGCATGCGTAACTATTCTGTTCTGAACGCTTGTAAGCAGGCAGCTAAGGTGTTTGAGCATAACATTATTTCAAAGCCCTAGAGTTTATTTCTCACCTTGTGACCAAATTGCAGGAATGGTATCTAGGAGGAAAAATAAGACTGGGAGAACACCTTGCAAATTCCAACATATTAAGTGCTAGTAAATATGTTTTTTATTTTGTTGTATTTTTTTTAGCACGTCTTATTTAAAAGAGGATTTGAGTCAAAAAAAAAAACCTATTAAAAATACCTCTGTATTTTAAGTTAATACATCAAATCAAAGTTGCCCCACTGATTCCCTTCCACCTTCCTCAGGCTTACACCTCTTCAGTCTGAGACATGATTTCAGCCAAATTAAAGTAAATGCTGATTAGGATGATCAAATAACTGTTTGGCAAATCAAATGTCTTTTCTTACGTTAAGGAAAAGAGCTTGCTCTAAGCTGGTAAACATCACAATTACGGCAGTGCTGCTTGGACCTGTGATAATGGTTTTAGACATAGCCTCAGATTGCTGAGTTTCAGAAGCTCCAACCAGAACTGCAATTCTCTGCAATGTCTTAATGCAAGCACACAAGATGTGAAAAAAAATTATTCAGGGAAGAAAATTATATGTAAATAGGAGGTATGAAAAAATTGCCTTAATCTGTGCTCCAATAACATAGTCTAAAAATACAAAGAACAGTGGGTGTGTGCTTCTCCAATCTCCAGCGAAAAAAACATCCAGAAGTTCACAGAGCTCAACTGTTTTTCCAAAATGCCTGATTAGGAAAATCAATTAACTTGGCATAATGGGCCCTGTGGAGAAATTGCTTCATTTCTATGGACTGGGAAGAAAAAATGTGAAAAACCTATGTTTTCTATTGCTGTACCCTTCCACAAAGCTATGAAAGCAAAAGAATAAAAAGAAAGATGCCTTATGGTGTCTCCACCTGGTTGAGCCTCAGCTACCATTGTGATCCCAACCTCTTTCCCATAGAATTCGGGTTTTCATATATAGTTTCTGGGCAGATTTTTACTCAGGGCTACCACTGTGTCTTAGGGTTCTGGCCTTCCAAGACTAGCTTCTAAATAGGATGTAATCTCTCCAAGTTACCCTTTCTTTGGAGATCTGGAAAATAAATAGACCTTGACCTTTTTTTTTTTCAGTTTCAGTTTTCATACTAATGTGGGCTGACGGCGTAAGGAGCAACAATGGCCAAAACAAACACAAATTATGGTGTTTCCAGAAATTTTCCAACTTTGTCTTGGTGATAATCCCAGATACTGGGAGACTTTTGCTCCAGAGCATGAAGTTAATCAACTTTTGCTTTCCTTCAGTCCCTGGATCTTCTCTAGATATAAAGAGTACTTTGTTATTTCAAATATGGTTGATTCGTCAGAAAAGCCTGACAAAATTCAGTGTGAGAATAGGTGTGATCCATAGGACATTTATATAAATCTGATCTTAGGAGGGTGATTTGCATTTCTAGAGCTTACAAGACTGACTCTCATCAGTTAAGTGCTTTCTGTTCTCCAGGTCCAAGGTCATAGTAGGGCATTTTCTCCCCATGAAAGTTCTGAACCATCTAAACAGAAGCTACAATCTGGATGTCTGTGATACTGCTTGAATCTCAATCTTTGCTCCACAGATACTGCATGAATAAGTTAATCTCTCTGCCTTCAAGTCTCATCTATAAAGGAGAGGTCATATTACCTACCTCCTAGGGATGCTGTGAGAAGTCAGTAAGTTAATAAGATAAAATAGCCCACAACTGTGCCTTTCACATTATATAATTACTGTCATTGCCAGATTTATTTTGCAGTGAAGTTGGGTTTGGCCTATATCAGTTTTTAATGGATGGAATTGTTTCCCCCTCAAAATCTGTATATTGAAGTCCTAACCCTCAGAACCTCAGCATGCGCCTGTATTTAGAGATAGGGTCTTTTAAGAGACAATTAAGTTATGAGATCATTAGGTTGGACCTTAGTCTGATATGACTGGTGTGCTTTAAGAAGAGATTAGGACACAGACAGAGAGGAAGAACATGTGAGGACATAGGGAGAAGATGGACATCTCCAAGACGAGGAGAGAGGCCTCAGAAAAAACCAACGCAGCCAGCACTTTGAGCTCCAATGTCTAGCTTTCAGAACTGTGAGAAAGTAAATTTCTCTTGTTTAGAAGACGAAACAAAATTTATGGTACCTTGTTTGGCAGCCCTAGGAAACTAATACAAATGGACTTTAAAAATTGAAATTTTCTGATAAAAATTCTTCTTTGGAGACTCTCTTGAAAATCAAGAGATCTTACAAGGGTGGACCCCCCCTCAGCTACATGGAAACAATACATGGCAGTTGAATGAAAGATACTGTTCTTGTAGAGAGAGGATGGATTATCCAGTTGACCCCAAGACCATCATTTCCCATTTTCTCACATCCAATCCCTGACCCCATTGGTATTTATGGCACCTGATCTAAAGGTCTAGTTCCTTTTGGGTTATTATTAATATTGGTTCTATTTATCTGGAGTTATCTAGACAGTCCCTAGTGTAGACTTTCTCCTGTCCTGACACCCCGGGAAAACCTTCATAGGGATGACAGCACACCATTGGTGGGTTTGGGGTTGTTCACAGGTAGTTTCCCCTGTAATTCTGCTGCCTTCTCTCCTACCCAGTATAAGCAGTAAAATACACATTTTAAGTTATGTCGTGTGTGTGTGTGTGTGTGTGTGTGTGTTGTGACCCCATGTTTAAGAATGACTTTCAGTAGGACAGAAGACATTCCAGTTTTAAAACGAATTTGGATATCATGAAGCCATAGCCTTCATTTTCTTGATTTTGGCTGGAAACTCATGCGTTTTCTCACAAGACGTGCATTGCCACATCATTCTGAAAAGCACCGTCATTTCTGAGATACCAATGGAAAGCCCTCTGTGACGTGGCCAACCGGCGAGACTTTGCCGTAACCCCATGCCATGCCAAGCACTCTGTAATGAGGACCATTCCTTCTTGCAGGCATTTCTTTTCATGGGTTGCCACAACCACTAGAAGCACGGTTCATGTCTACTGCTGGCTGGTCAAAGAAATAGTGTCGGTTTTTTAATAACAGGCTGTAAGCAATTGTAAGTGAAAGGCAAGGAGGGAGAAAGAGATGCATGCCCAGAGTTATTTCAATAGGCAAGTTCCAAAGTCTTCTAAGGTTAACTCTGCCTAATTAATAACAGTACCAAATGGGGCCAAAAGCATGAAGTCTGCAAACGGCTAATAATAAGGGCTAGACAGATATGCCCCACTTTCCATGTATGTTCATAGCTCTGACTGCAAAATGTAATTGAAGTAAATGGGATTTTCTGCTTATTCTTTAATGTCGAAGAGTGTTTGCTATTCTCTTTTCTTACCTCAAAGAACCTCAATTAATTGCAGCAAATCTTATACCGGTGGTATCACCGCTAGAACGCTTGAGGGCATTTACAGAAGAAGAGGGAGACACAGTCCTATGCTTATGTTCAGCGCACATTTATCTCTTTGTAGTTGTAGCTGATGAACCCTAACTATTGGGTTGGGGAGGAGGAAAGGGGATTGTTGTTTCTAACTACTCATGCTCAAGAAAACTGAGGCTTTCCATTCTTTCTTTTAAAAGCTTAAATTCAAATCATTTCTTAAGTACCCTTTCTTTTAAAAGCTTAAATTCAAATCATTTCTTAAGTACCGTGACCCTTGAATGAAAACAGCCAATAAGATAGGATCTGAAAGAGTAAGACAGATTTTAGGAAGAAGGGATTTTTTTTCCTTGGGCTTTGCTTTCCCAGTCTTGAATTAATCACAGCTGTCTTTCACCAGCAAAGGTTATTTTTATCTAGCATGCTTTAAATTAAAAAAAAAAACAACCACCACAAAGGGAGCAATCTGATGTTCTTCAAGCTTCCCTAACCTGCCACAGAAAAAGAGGGAAGCATTAGCTCTGTGCAGCTAAGAATCCAGCTTTTAATTATATCTTCCTCGTGTTTACATGAACTTGAGTTTGCATTTCAGAAGCCTTATGGAAGGATTCCTGTGGCTGACCCAAGAGTGGTGGGGAATTTCTCCATCAAGTGAGTATTGATGAGCTGCAAAGTTCAGTGAACAGGAAAATTCTGCTCCTTTTATTGCCAGTGTGACAGGTTACTTTATTACCATGCCTTTCACAGCAATTTAACAGTTACCCTGGTAACGGATTCAGTGAGGTAATGGGATCACAGGCATTAGAGCAGCGGCAGGCTGGCCGCTTGGAGCAGCCATCTGCTGGCTGCCGTTCCGAAGCCTGTCTTCCTGGAGGAGCCCTGACAATCATGGGGCCTGCATGGCAATGAGGCAGGTGAAACCGCAGGCCTGCCCTATTTAGCTGTACTCTGGTGATTTGTCTCTCTAATTCTATTGAAATAATAATCAGGATTTGTTTCTGATTAATTAACTAACCTTTTGGTAAAAAGATTAGATAACGAAATTGCTGCCTATTCAGAGATAATGAGATTTTTATTACTCTGTCAAAAGAAAAAAGTACATTTATGTGTCACCAGCCCCTGTGTCAAAAGGAGGGGGAAGAAAAGATCTTAAGTCTTTGTCAGATGTGTGTCTCCTCAGCAGAGGAAGGGTGGGCTTCCTTTTGCAGGAACTCCCCAGGCTGATTTGAAGCCTGTAGGAAAAGCTTTTAAAACAGCAAACAAAGCAATAAACACATTTAGGCCAGTAGGCTTTGGGGGAGGGTGCTAATTTGTTTTAAAATGTCTCCTAATGGAAGAGAAATGCTTGGGTGTCTCAGGAACTTGCTTGTACCGTGTGGGTGTATTTATGTAAGTGTGAGAGTGTGAAGAAAGCAGTAAAATCTCCTTGCAAGGCTTTAGAATGACATATGTAGACAGGCTGCGTTTCCCCTGCACTGCCGATATGTCTCCGGCTCGCAGTCCATTTGTCTTCTGGCAGGAGTTGTACTCGGGCGATGGGCAGGGAAATCAGCCGAGCTTAGCAGGCAGGCTGGGGAGGTCACCTGTGACTGTCACAGGTAGGCTGCGTCAGGAAATGAATTATTCTAACTGGCTGAGTAAAAAGGGAAGCAGCCCTTCTTCCTGCTTCACTCTAAGACACACAGCTGGTCGATTTAACCTTTTCTCTTAAGAAGTCACAGCTCAATCCTTTATTAGGGGGAACGGGGGGACTTTCATTTTCTCACTCCTCTGTGGTTTCTTTCAATGTTGTGATATGAAAACAAAACAAAACAAAACAAAAAAACAAAAACAAAGCAACCCAGGAAAAGTGCTTCCCTTGGATAGAGAGATGCCAAACGAGTCCAGTGGCCTGTGTGCAGCAGTCAGCATCATAGGGAAGAAAGCACAGAGTATTTCCAAATGGAATTTCACAGAGCTACAATTGTGTTTTAATTACTGAGACCTGGGGAGGAAACAGAGTGCGTGTCTCTTCCTGCGATGCCGTAAAACCGACTAGTGGGAGGGGGCCAGGCCATGGGCTGGGACCCAGCTGAGCATTTTGTTAAAGTGTATTTGTGTCACTGCCTTTTCACATTCAGTGAGACACTTATGCTTCCTGTGACATCCTGCGGCCTTGGCTGCCTCACTGTGTGTGTATGAACAGGAAAAGATTTTGAGTTCTAAAAATAGAAGTTTCTGTTCTGAATTTCATACGGTTCACAGACAAGTTGAAGGAGACCGAAAAAAAAAAAACAAACAGTGAAGGGGATCAGATGTGCACATTCCAGAGCCTACGTCCCAGTTCTGGGGTCCCCAGTCTCCATCCCCCTCTTTATTCTCAGTTCCTCCTGCACCTCCAGTTGCCAGCTCATGGGCTCCATTTCTGATAAAAGATGCTTGACAAAGAAAGAGAAGTAAGACCTTAGAAAGGAGAAGGCTGCTGCTGGTGGGGATTTCTGATAGTTCATTACCAATAGCTTTTTACAGGAACTTGATCTTGTTGGCCCTTTGCCAACTGAAAGGAATGAACACGGCGGGGGTGGGGAGCCTTTGTCTTCAAACTCCCGGTGAAATACAGGGTTAATATTAGCAATTATTATTAAAATTAGCCAAATGTTATTAAATGATCTTTGTATAGAAGAATAAGTATAGTTTTCCCTTTGGCAGACAATGACATCTGCAGCTCTACATTTTC